GGCAAGGCTGTCGCCTTGTCGGGCATGCCGATGCCCATGTAGCTCATTGCCAGTTTCCAAATTAGTGGCAATATGACCTGCTGCAAAGTTGCCGCGGTTCGTGGAGACAAACACACCACAATGTTGATCTACTGCTACAGAGAGGCAAGGTCATTGGTGTACTTGTTGCTGATTCTGCTGTATATTACTCCAAAGAGAGCAGAATCGTACCATTTTCGTCAATTGCAATAACACGGGAAGACATCTTTATTCACTGGACCACCTTCATGAGGTACGACCCGCAGAAGATCCAGAGGACGATACGCAGCATCAGGAAGGGCAAAACCGTCGAGTTCCAGACAGTCGTCGGTAAAAAGAGGCTGCTAACGTGAACGGCTCAGGCGGCGCATTACTGCAGAGCTCCCGCAGCATACCAGAGAAACCTCTGCAGGCAGGAGCGACGCGTTTGAGCGCTAGGCCTATAGCGGCGCACAGGTGGGCATTGGCTTCGAAGGTGACAGTCAGAGAAGTATGTCTACACCTAGACAGAGATTGGCTTTGCCTTGGAAGGCAACAATCAGATACGGAAAAAAACAGAAATGTAAATATGTGTTCGATGGTATAAGCAGCAATTGCCCTTTGCCAGAGAGCTTGTGTGTAAATATGCACTGTGCTGTGTAAGCATATTTTTTGTGTACTTGTGTTTGCCATACGTTTACAACTGTCATTTTGTCCTCCCTTCTGTCCTCCACCGGAGAAGGTGAGATGTGGCAGTAGCCGATAATAAAGGAGAATGAAGTATACAGGACACACGCTTGGTGTGGAGGAGCCAGACGGAACAGAGCGTCGTCTCATCCTTCATAGATATTAGTGATGGGGCAAAACTTTTTCTAAAACAGAGGTTTCGGAAAGTTTGGGAAGAACGGCCGAACCTCGGTGCGTTTCGGATTAGTTTGGATAGTTTCGGTGCGTTGCAATATTGTACACCACATTATAGAATTAAATTTTTAAATATATATATTGTAAACGACTTAATTTTAGCGAGGACCTAGTTTTCACAAATCACCTACAATTCGCAAGCAATGTACCCCGAACAATTCCTGTAAAATGTAATTAAGGTCCCACAAACAATTCCTGTAAAATGTAAACAGACAGGAATCTATATATGTTGAGATCCCACTGTGCCACGAAAAATAAGTCATTTACACTACTTAATTTAACAAGATAGGCCAGTTAAGATCAAATCTGAGATACGGGGAAATAAAATAATGGAAAACATGAAACAAAATATTGAGATTTTGTGTCGTTGGTCAAGACGGTTTCGAATGAACAACTTTTATAGTCACGTCATGTAACCAAAACAAACCTGGCAGGTCGGTGAAATTGACGATTGCAAATCGCAATGCTCATTTTCATCGCATCAATTGCTCGGCGACGTGCATGGTGTTCGTCCCAAGCGTCGGGAACGTAGCAGGTCACATTGGCAACAAAGGTGGCAAGTGGAACTCAATTGGTCGAACAATGTTTTAGAGAAAAAAGTCCCACCCCTTGACTTTTCATCAAAACAGACTTTAGCAAAATTCGTTGCTTACCCTAAGACGTTTATTGCTCGTGCACCACAGTTGGGCACCTTTCACACAGAATGCATCGCTGAAGACCACTAGCAGCATGTTTCCAAAGTGGAAATAACATATCCGATTAGTCAGCCCCGATTCATGATCGAAACGTTCGGGAGGCCTGCACGCTGCGCCCAGAGCTCCAACACTTCAACACGCACAAGCTACCATAGAGCTTTGCTTTCGGAACTCCTGTCGTCAGTCTGGCCGTCACTTCGAGTATGGATCAAGAATGTGCTCCATGGGTCAACACACCTGCAAGCCTCGGCATGGGAATCTAGTGTCTATGAAGACCCCTTCACACACTGCGGGCAACCTGGTGTGTATTGCTACAACGCAGAAAATGAACCAAAAACAAATTGCATTTCGGTCTGTATCGAGGTTTAGACTTTAAACACTCACAATGTCCACAATATCAAAATGAAGAATGCCATGTTGGCTAGAACGCGACAAAACTGACAAACCTTCGAAAACACCGAAATTTCATTCAGAGAGCTTTGAAACCTTCTGAAACAGTTCAGAACGAAACCTCCAAGGTTTCACCCCATCACTCATAGATATTGTTACATTCAGTGTTGTACGGAACAACGTTCCAAAGAACGGCGTTCCTGGAACGCGTTCCTTTTAGGAGGAACGAAGGAATGCCGCCGTTCCATTTTACATCGGTGGAACTGGAACGGGAACTCGTTACATTTTTCCTAGAACGGAAAGAGTAACGGCGTTTCGTTTTTCGTTTAGTGGGGTCATTTTTATTCTATTTTTACGAGGGAAATTTTAAAGGTATAAAAGCTTTATCATTACGAAAATATGGTTTTTAACTCGTTCACCTTTTGGTTAGTTATCTTAGGATTTATATTGTGTGGTCCTCGCTTAGTAACAGTCGGTTGCTGGAAAGTTAGAAGACATCAATGTTTATTTTTTTTTTAGTGCTTCAGTCTTTGTTACAAAAAGCGAAACGTTTAGTCGCACAAAAAGACACAAAGAGGAACGTTTCAAACTCAGCTACGTTATTTGCTTCTACGAATCCTCATACACCCAGAAATCTAAGGCCGACGAAAGCCATTTTTGAACTTTCATAGACCTACATCTACAACAAAATCACAGGTTACTGGACATTAAACACACTTTTGAATCCCTAACATTGCCTTTATTCCTCCTCTCTTTGTCCCCCACCTTCAAACTAAACAATGAATCCAACCTTCACAAAGAACTACTTGTAGTTTTCAAGACTGACCTTCGAAAAGCATACCCTCTCCTTCACTTCTTCGTCTTGCGGAGAGCAATATCGAGAAGCAACTGCTGTTAAAGGGGTTATGACATAAAAATTAAACGGATAGATTATTCTTGAAATGGAATGCTCATAGGCTACTTAGTATATACACAAAGTTACGCGATTTTTAGAGCTCTGGTAATAGCAATATCCAATTTACGAATTTTTATCATTTTCATCTGGCGACCAGGCATCACTGCCCAAGTTAGTCACACCATGGTGTCCATAAACCAGGTGACCATGAACACTCTCTCATTCTAGGCGCCCCCATGATTGCTCAAGCTCTCCTCATCGCGGTACGTTCAAAACCGCTCACACAACTCGGTAACCCGAAAGCTATTCTCGCTCTCACCCCCGGCCCGTTGACCTCCCATCCTGCATGCGCATGCGAGATATTACAGGACGACGGTGACGACGGTGAGTTCGTCCGTTACTCGGTGTTCACTAGAGCTGGTCGCCAGCGGGTCGCAGTCAAAATGAGCAGCTTCCAACATCTCTTGATAGCAATCACTCTCATCGCTGCTTAGATCACTGTCGAACACTTTGACAAGGCGAGCGATGCCGTAGACGTATTCGTCACGGACCGCATGCTCGAAACGTGGAAGGTAAACGAGGAAGCTGAGGCTCGATACGCCAAGAGAGCCAAGTCTGTGAGTGCGTGCAAGGAGACACCGCGCTGGAGGCTGGCTACGTAGCCAACCTCCAGCTCCGCCCGGATCTGCCCCTCCGAGGGGCCCGCATATAAATCGATTTATACACAAAACTATCGCGCTATTTTCAAAACAAATTTAGCAGGATTATAGGAGCATACAATGGGTCCTAGCAGTATAGTTATCTCATATTTTATTTTTGACGTGTCATAACCCCTTTAAGGCCCGTTCACACTCTTGCAACCGAGTACGACCGAGAGAGACCAAACCGGTTTTTAAGCCTCTTGCGATCTCTTAGGACCAGCTCCGCTCAGCGCATCCGGTCTCAAGAAGTCTTTCTCGGTCGTAGTCGGTTGCAAGAGTGTGAACGCGCCTTTAAGTTCGAACAAGGGACTTCGTTAGATTGGAACGTGTGAGGTTGTAAAACACTCGTGCAATGTGGGGTAACAGTAGATGCAGCTTGTCTGAGTCGTTCACCACAAACATAAATCTGGTTAAAAGCTGAGATTTTTAAACATGAATATATCAACAAATAAAACCTTGATTCCGCTTCTTTTCTTCTCCTGGTGCCCTTCCATAACGACATATAAATTTGTATGTTCCCATTTAATGGCATAGATAAAAAAAAATACTGCTTGATCGAACCAAATATGGTAATTAGAAAAATACAAATGTAACGTATATGTAACGAAACGTTCCATTTTTTTAACTGTAACAAGAACGAGTTCCTTTCTCACAGATGGAACTTGTAACGGGAACGCGTTCCAAAATTCAGAAGGAACGAGGAACGAGCTTTTGTTCCTTTTTTTGAGGAATGTGTACAACACTAGTTACATTTTCCAATGCCAACACTTTACCATCACTTCTCAGGAGCACCAAACTTTCAACACTGTGACAAGACATTGAAAGACAGGTTGCTGCTGCTCTTGTCACCAACACTGACACCTCACAGGAACACAACACTCTCAATGCTGTGACAAAGAGTTCAAATGCACACCACCACTGTTTTGTCAATGCTGACACCTCACAGGATCGCGCAGCTTTCAACACCGTATGTAAGAAGGCGTTCATAAGCACACAGCTACTGCCGTTGCTGCCAGACTAGGCACGGCAGTCATTCCACAGGAGCACCAAGTCTTCAACACTGCGAAAAGGGCCTTGTCACAGTGTTCACGTCACACCACATTCACAGAACTCCGCCACAGGTCAACCCCCAGAACGGCTTCGAGGTCATCTCTTCAGTTGGCATGTGCCCTGGCAAACAAGACATCATCGTTCGCCAGGATCCTGTTCAGATTGAGCAAAGAGCACAGAAATATGAGACTTCAAACATATCCTGTCTCGCACGCTACTCGCGAGTCGCGACGCATATGGCCTCACTCGCTCACGACAGTACATTCATATAGAGGAATACCTCAGCAGAACAGGAATGGTGCGTGATATGTGATTCTCTCTTTGGATTTATATATTTCCCCCCGTGAGGGGGTGGGCCGATCCCGGAGGCAGTGCAATACCGGGCCAACCCGTGGCATAGGTGAGGTAAACCTCAAGCACTACGCCGCATTCCAAAAATAAGATTAATATCTTGGGTCCAAATAGGACCCGTATCAGATATTAAGCTGATAAGAACAGATTTTTTATTGATGCTAATTACATAGATACAGGGTTTCCATCGGTGATTGCTTAATTTTGGTAAGTTAGAGGAAAAAAAGGGGTAATAGAAAAAAGAGTTATGTGAGGAGAAAGGCAGGTGAGGGTGTTGCGGGTTGAGGTCACTCCCCCCCAACATGCGCCACATAAATGTCTCTTGACTTGGCAATTGTCTCACTCACTATTAGCTTTTTCATCAGCCGCAAGTATGAGCGGCTGCACAGTCGGCGCAGGATTTTGTCGTTGTCCGGGTCCCAGGCGCCGAGCGCCCCCACAACCACGGCCTCCACCGTGACTCGTTGGAAGCGTCGCCGAAGGAGCTCCCGAACAGGCGCATATTTCTCAATTTTCTTCGCCCTCGCCTCTTGCATGGCCACCCGTCTGTTTTCGAATGGGCAGCAGACATCAAGGACTATGGCCTCCTCCCCTCTTACCAACACGAGGTCGGGTCGCAAGCCTGTGTCTCCCACCGACTGGTCTTCGTGGGTGACTGTGAAGCGGCTCGTAGCTGCGGCCTTGATTCGTCGCACAATCTTGTTATGGCGCTCGGTGATGTCACGGCTTCGGGGCATGCAATGGCAGACGACATGCGGCAGTGTTTCCTGCTGGTAGCCGCATGTCCTGCACCGTTGGTCCACTGCTGCAGCCCAGGGTCGAGCACCGTTGAGGGGTAGGAGGTTCAGTCGCGCCCGATGGATGAATCGCCAGTCTGCAAATCGTGTGAACTGACCGGATCGGATGAAGTGTGAGCTGGTCCGGTCAGCTGCTACGCATTCCATTGCCTTGCCCTGGCTTGGTTTCTGTTGGAGGGCTGCGTTCTTCTCTGCCATCAGGACCTCCCGCAGCGTGCGAATTACCTTGTGGCGGTGCTTTGGAGACAGCGAGGTCTCCCCGAAGGCGATCCGGGCTCCATCTGGTCGGAGCTCCCAGCTTACCCCAAGCCGGCGAGACGCCTTGCGAGCCTCCGTCCACACAGACTTGAGTTGGGTGGCGGTGGAGCGGAAGTCGCCTTCTGTCTCGCCCGTCAGGTAGGCCTCGATGTCTCCTTCGGCAGCTGGTCTTCGAAGCCGCTTTGCAGTGATGTCTGTCACCGCTTTGATCTTAGCCAAAAGGCCGAGAAGCGATACCCCCAATTGTCTTTTAATTTCAAGTCCTTCAGGGCTTGAACCCCAAGAGCACATACCACCCTGCAAAGAGGTAAACAAACGCGCATGGCTTCCCAGCGCCAAAGTGGACACCGGTACGCTTTTCCGAGGTTACGTCGAATCAAGTGCAACTCTCCGATGGTATATAATCTCGAAATGCCTCAATTAAAGCGGAATTAATGAAAATAAGCCCTCTAGACACAACGTCGACGTCGTACGAGAGACCTCATCGCCACCTCTCGACTCGCCAGCAAACTCAAAAGGTGTACCGCAAATCACAGGAAACCCACATAAAGCTGCGAGAAAAACAATTCGGAATAATATATTAGCACGATAAAAATGAAACGCAACATGTATTCGCACAGGTTCAAAATCCGGATGTCTCAAAGTGCTTCCGGCGAAACATTGTCTGCTATCACAAATGGCAGACGATCACGTTCGTCCACAAACCACCACAAACCGAGAACACGACTGCCAAATACTAATACTCGAAAAATGATCTAGTAAGATACATCAATGGGAAAACACAAATATTTAGTCAAGTGAGGATCCCGGAGTTGATGGAAAGCTTCTGCCCCAAAAAGGCAGTCACCCAACGTTCAAGTAACGGTTCATATCATTTGATGATGCGAAATTTTGGAAATGAGCATCGTTCGAACTTTTTCGTGCGGCACACATGTGGCGAGATATGTGCACCCTATTCGAGAACGTCAAAGCGTCGGTACCGCAGCTGAGAAACAAGCGAAACCTTCGAAGCTTGATCGAGGAAATCACTCGTGAATGTTCGTCAAGACCTGGTCAAGACGCCGCGACGCTGCCTTGACGACGCCGACGACGCGGACCTAGCGCAAGACGGTTGTGAGCGGTTTGCGCGAGATGGCGCCAGCGTCGCTTCGGCGCTTTAGTTCGCAGTTCATTTACTAGATGGCCCTAGTCCCCCGTTCACTACTTCAGTCTCGTTTCAAAACGCGGGAAGATCTCTTTAAATTGCGAAAACAGAATTATCACGTGCAGAAAAACACAACCCACATTTAAGCCTGAACGTCAATGAAACTTAAAGGAACAAGCAGTCTAGCTAGCCGATGAAGGACTTGCAAACTAAGGAACCGACGGTTTCCGAACACGAGCGCGCGCCCCAAGAACGCCATTCCGGCATGGCACCAAAACCACGCTAAACAAAAACAAAAAACAAACAAAAAAAAAAACTTACATTTTGTAAAAGCATGCGCGAGGCAACAAAAATGCTTGCATTCTGACGGTACCGGGTGCACGAAACTACGACTGACGGACTGACACGGCGACAAGAAACGACTGCCATTAGGCCTAGCTGTCATCATCGCCCCCATTAAGAGGGAGCGCTCCTCCTAGCCCCATAGAGAATACACGCGATTTTCTGCCATTTTACGAAAATTCTCATTTAATAACCGTTACACCGATTTTTTCAAACTTTTTTGCTATAAAAAGATTCATTCTTCGTCCAACTATCCCACCGAGCATATTTTTCATAAAAATATTTATTATATTTTATATTAAATCGTGAAATCGGTCGGAATTGGCTGTTTTGACATGTTTACGTTAGAACGCGTTTTTAAAAACCTGTGAATTTTTAACTACAAATGTGTCTGGTGGGATATCTGCGGAATTTAACACGGAATTCAATTATATTAAAATTATAGCTGTAAGTACATCCGTTCTTTAACTACGTCGAAAAAACTCAACCAAGGTGTTGTGGCTTGTTTTCCTCGTTTGGACGGTCAAGACTAGTTCGACGAGCGCCGCGTGAGGGCGCCACCATTTCGCCACGCACGCTGCTCTGATTTTGTATTACTCCGCGCGCATGCGCTCTTCAGTAACGCGCTTGTGGTGGTCCAGAGACGGCAAGACCCGTCCAGGCAGAGTGGTTTTGTTTCTCGGGGTGGGATGTCAGGCGGATAGCTGTGCGTGTTTTCATAACTAGAAAGGCCGTCCTCGCAGCTATGGGTCCAAAGAGGTATAAATATGGCAAGCGAAAGGTCTCGAAGTCGCAAATAGAGTTTGCACGTAAGCGACCCTCTGCTGAAACTACGGATGGTGAGGTTGCAGGTGAGGTTGAGTCATTGTGTCGTCGCGCTGCGAGAACGAATTGACTCGGGGTGTTGAAGATGCCGCTTGGGAAGCCATGCAACAGGCCGGAGTGGAAGAAGCGAGGCGCGCGAAGGAATCTGGCGAGATCGATGCCGAAGGCTATCCGCTTGTTACCGTCGTTGCAGACTGTGCGTGACCAAAGCGATCGTACAGGCACAAGAACGACGCTCCTTCTGGTACGGTAAGTACTACATTTCTTCCTCTAAAAGGGGCGCGAATTTTGATCGTAGATATAATATACATTTCTTTAGAGTGCGTTCGAAAGAAATCCGAAGCATGTTTTTCTCGCCACGAAAATACATTAGTCTCTGTCGCTAGGCTACATTTGGGCGGACGCTGAGCATTTGGCAATGCGTAGTTTATTTTTATGGTGAGATGACCGTGGTTAGAATCCCTCTCTGTTGTATGTGTATTTCTGTGAATGCAAGATTTGTTTCGGCAACTGGGGTGACGATTTCTCACGAAGCACTGGAAACAGTTATGCTTTTTGTGTGCTTGTTTTAGTGACCGCTGTTTTATGTACTATACATTCCGAATATACGCGGTGCCATGCAGTCAGTTCGTCAGACGACGTTTTAGACAGCTCGTTTCTTCGAAGCTGCACTTTTTCAAGGATAAATCGTTCCATCGGAAATAGCCGGCGTTCGTTTCATCGATACACCTTGTGACGTTTCGTCTAGTTTTTCTATTATGTGCGTGCTCGCGCTTGCGAACGTAATTGCGCGTCCGTGTCTGCTTGCGTGTGCGCCTGCATGAGCGAGGATGCTTATGTGCGTGCCCCCCGTGCACATGCGTGTTTTCATGTTTACGCGTGAGTATATATACCCGCGTATCTGTGTGCGTGTTATACGTGCATCTGCGTTCGTGTTTGCACGCGTGGGCGTTTGCCTGCTCATAAGTGCGCGTGCCTGTGCGAGTGCGCGCGTGCACGTGCGTGTGTAATTCGTGCGTACGTGTGCGCGGGTGTGCTTGTGCGTGTGTACGTGAATTTGCATCCGTGCCTGCGCGTGCATCCACGTATCTGTGTTCGCGCATGCGTATGAGTGCCTAATTCGTGCGTGTTTGAGTGGGCGCATGCATACTTGGGCGTACGTGTGCCCAAGTACGCACGTTGTCGGACTTGCGGGAAAGGTTCGAGAAGCTCGAACCTGGTCGAACTCGAACGTCGGCTGGTTCGCGACACCTTTAGTACTCACGTTGCGGACGGTTGGTGATTGGCCGCTGATAACTTCACCGTAACTTTTTGCTTTATGTTTAGCGCCATTTTTTATATTTCTATTCGTGCGATTGTAATCTTTTGCGATTAAACTCTCTGTACTCTTTCCTTGTGACCTATGAAACGATCTCGAACGCCTCGAACAACAGCGACGCTTGCGTTCGTTCTCGGGGCTAGTAGGCGAGGAGGTTACAAGTATTTATATGACGTCAGACTGCCTTTTGATGCCGAGTCACAACACAGAAGTATGGCCACCGAAGGCAAAAGCAGTTATCCCATTGGCGAGTTTGCTTTGTCTTTCAATTTTCACAACTCTCCCGAATCAGTTTTGCTTTATCGTTTGGTGGTCATGCTTGTGGGCGATGACTCAGCACGTGACTAGACCCTATAACCGTTCATGATGTTTTTCTCTGTTTTTATTTTTTAGATTGAACGATTCTGCTGCAGTGTGGAACGAACTACACGAAAGTGCTCAACCTTCTACGAAGTCTTCCGAGGAGCAGAACGTGTGGGGATCAGGACTATTGGAAGATATGTTCTCAAGTCATGAAAAACTGCCCGGTCGCCAATCATTACAAATTGTCTATGAAATACTATAAGAAACAATCAGTGTCGTGAAAAATTGTATAAAAATACTTCGTTGTGCAGTGCTGGTGGCTAGTTGTGATGAAGTAACGAAGGTATATGCCGGTAGTTTGTCATATATATATTCGATTATGTATTTATTTTTAAAGTACCTAATATACAGTGTTGTTTTTACTTAACTGGAACGTGTTTTTCTTTTAAAAGAGGGGGAGGCATTTACCTTAGTGCCGTATTCACTGTGCCTTTAGGGGGCTCGGCGAACACTACATGGGAGATCATTGTAGCGATAAGCTGGGTGGGTAAATAACTAAAATCTGCTAATCAAGTTTCCCACGAGCGGGTTTATAGCTCGTATTGCAATTATATATTTAAAGTCATTAGACGGTAAATAAATTTGGACGTATTGCTAAAACCCAAAGGGATTTTAAGTATCTAGGTTTTCAGTTTTTTTATGGCTAAAACATAATTGGCTCGTTTGGCCACGGGAATCGCAGTACCGCTATTTCTGCATAGTTGAATAAAGCAATCACTCGCTAACACATCGTACAAAATAAATAGCGTGTTAATTGCAAACACAATGTTTATAGTGAGAAATAATATTCCGGAGCGCCTCTCGCGGCACAGATCATTTGATAGTGTTTTATCAATGCCATTTATGTAATACAGTATCGCGAGAAATATATTGTGTAATTAAAAAAATATTTATTATATATTGACAGTGCTACTGGCGAACTCTCCACGCCGGTCCACTTGTAAAGACGGATTTTGAAGTAATGTCTTGTGATTGTCTTTGTCGCCTCGTGTCCCATGTGTTTGTAGTTGACAAGTGTTTATTTGAATCCACGGTCAGTGCATTCAACCGTACGTTCAGTGCAGTTTCGCTTATTTTGCTCGAATTATTAAATTTGCATTTGTTTTAATTTTCTTCCCTTTAGTTGTGTCTGTGCGCCGCTGTTTTTACTCACATGAACACATATACAGGGTGATCCTCGAATCAGCCGGGACCCCTTCAACCGTC